AATAAGCAATTTAAAGCGAACAAGACGTCAGAAATGGCAATACCCGCATTATGCAGTTCAGCATGTGCTTCTCCAACTTTAGCCCTCCTTAGGCTTATTGTAAGACTTTCTTGTTCTAGACAACCAGTTGACCACCTGTGCCGACCACGCGTCGCACAGTGGACCAATCCAATGGGTCAATGGTCAATGGGCAAATACCAACTATTTTTTATAATATTTACCAATATCCAATTTATTTTATATATAATATTTAAAATTTAATGAATAATTTATTTTTTTAATAAAATGATTAAGTAATCTAAGGCATGTAAAATTAAAGAACAAAAATAATATTATTACATATTTATTTATGTTTAGTTAAATTTGTTTATATTTTATAAATTTCTGTTATTTTTAAATGAATGGCTAAACTGTAACCAACAATTAAATAGTTTTATATATCACCTATTTAAACAATTTTCAATGTTTACAAATAATACAAAGATAAATAAAAGAAGAACAAGAATACCAGAAAATTATTTGTAATACTTAGAGTTTTTCCATCGAAAGTGTTAAAATATAAAAAGAATTAACAAAAACATGAATAACGTTTTGAATTTAATTTTTGTTCAATGTCTTTGCAGCTATACATTGTCTAGTCTACTGAGTGGGGCTCGTGACATAGTCGTGACATAACATTAGAGAAATGGCTAACTCAGTAGGGTTAATTCGAGTCTGTTGAGTAATTATATCAGTAAGTAATCCTTCCATGTACCATATATTTAAAAAAAGTTAGTTTTAACCATCGTTTGTATTGGTGTATTGTGGTGAATTAGTGCTTTATTTTGCTAACTAAATAAATTGAAGGGTTCAGGGGAAAAACTTCATAAGCGCTAATTTCTTAATTTTAGGATTTTACATTATTATAGTAGGTCTAACTGGTCCCTACAAAATGTATAAACTCTGCATGATATATGCCTATAAAAATATAGAATACACGGCAAGTACCTGAAAACTATTAGCCGTTCGGTGCTCTCCTGTAAAATCGGTGAAATGGCGCTTATCATGTTTTCCCCTGGACCCTTCAATTATAAACCAGATTATTTATCCCCCTACGATACTTTTATAAGTTGATATGCTTTGATCCAATTTAAACGGCTATGTCTGCCCAGAGCGTAATTACAAGATGGTACACTTAGGTTCCGAGTCTGGTTTAATGTAATTAATAGCCATGCAGTGGGTTCTTGTGAGTATATGTTGCGCCACTATGCGTACTATTTCACGTGTCGTGTTTACTATTAACTTTTAGTGCGTTAGATAGTAACTAAAAAACTGCTACTGAATTAGTGTTCTAGAAAGCAGGTCCTTTTAATGTTTGTTTTATGGCTTTATAGACATTTATTTTAATTGCTTCTTAATTAATTGTTTTTTTTTTTCAGTTTTGGTATAAAAAATGAATAACACATTTCATTTCAAAAAGTTTATTAATAATTTTAAAATATTTACATGTGTATACTTTGGAACGTATTTCTCTTAACAATTACTAAATCTAATTAAAATAATTAACATTTCCTAATACTACTAAATGTATGTATACGTATACCAGTTCTTCAATCATTTAATAATAAATGTATGTTTATGGTATTGGAAAATCTAAATTATATTGTTTAATAATCTCAGTAACATGTTATAAATTTTGCTTTAGATCGGCCATAAATAAAAACTAATGAAGGTTAAAAAAATAATTAATGCAGTATATCTTATATTTTTAAACTTAAATTTTATAACATAAAATCATCTTTATATTTTACACAGCTATAAGTATGTTTTAGAAATAATTTGAGTCTAAGTATAATTAAGGCGTCATACACAGTTTCGAGATTAAAATTAAATAAAAAAAACATGTATAGTACCTCTCAATAGAACATTAGTTTTGTTTACTTCTGGTATTAGGTTAAATAACAATTATAACAAACTATCCTACAACTACTTAAAACAAAACATTTTTTTAATAAATTATAAGAACATCACCACAAAGATTTATTTACACAAATAAAAAAAACGTTTTCAAATTAAAATAAAAGTTAATTAAAATTTTGTGATACTTTTGGATTTCAACTGATGTCTATTATAATGTTCGTGCTATAATTTTGAGGGATTGGCCAGGCATTAAAATAAATCATGATAAGTAGATGTGGAAACAACACTGATCTGCGTTGACCTAAGGTCAACAACTCTTTCTGTCTCCGCCTACTCCATGTCTGTCGCGTTGCACGGCAGCTCGGCAAGGATGATCGAGACTAGGGTCTGCGATGGTACAACCGTTCCACTAAGACCATCTAGCAACCGCGCACAGCTTTTCTACTCTTGACCGAAGATGGGTTGGTAACTGGTCGTTACCCATAGTTGCCATCTTTCGTTGTTCACTTTCTGCCGTTAATTCCGCTTGTCCCTCATGTTTATTTGTTGCTTGAACTAGACCTGAAAAGAAATAAACTCATATAAAAATTTACCATCGAAAACCATACATTCTATCAGTGTATTATTTCAACTAATGTAATTTTTTTAAGGGGTTCAGTAGAACTGAGAAAGGTATAACCACTAACCAGACGGGCAACAATGTTACATGTTACTTACGAGGTTCGTTACGAACCTCGTGCATTTACGATGCAAAGAAAGTGCAAGTTGAACTTCTACGCGCGATCGTTCAAGGACACCAACTTAGTCCTTCTAACAGCTCGAGATAAGAGCGCGCTTGGCTTGCGATGCGTTAGGCTGGGGTTGAACAATGATATAGCCCCTACCCCTTTTAAATTAAATATTTTTCATTTTCGTTTACTTCATAATTTTCCTAAAAGCTTTAAAAATTAAAATCCAATCTTTTCTATTTTCACTGTATCATAGAAATCATAACATTTTTAGGAAATATTGTTTTGTAACCCAATATATCGTATAAAGCTTCATGCTGTATATAACAGCGCAGTATATTATATTCTGTATATAACAGCGTAATATTCAGATGGAGCGGCCCCGTCCGCGCTGTTCGTCCGTGTGTTTTTTCAAGATAGCCGTCGGACGAAATCATTCGAACGGAGCATACGGGACCCATGTGAAATTGTTCATATAAACTCATGGTACTTGCTCGAAGTCGCAGACGGTCCGCTCCATTTGAAAGCGCTACAAGACATAGTTTCCATAGACGATAAGTCTATATAGAACATGTCTATATGACATGACAATGTCTGTATAGACATGTCTCCTAAACATTCTGTGTATATAGGGTTTCTATAGACATGTCTATATACAGACGCTAAAACCCTTAAATAAATCTCTCTCTAGTTTATAGCTTATATAAGACTTGAACTGTACACTCTTTTTGTTAACTTAAAGAATATAATAAAATTTTAGAAATTTTTTATTTTTTATTTTGAACCATTCTGGCGCCCTCTGGTGGCAAACAGTAATTGATAAAGATTTTTACCATAGGGCGCCACAGTCGAAATTTTAGTTCTGCGTTTTCCCACCAGGGAGAGCTACTTAAAAAATGTGAATTTGTGTTTTTATATTTGAAGTGTTTTTAGTTCATTTGCCCTCTAATAGATGGCGCCACGAGAATTTTCAGTTCAGGGTATTCCCACCAGAGGGCGCCATTTTCGAAATTTTAGTTATGCATTTTACCACCAGGGGGCGCCATGCACAGAATTTTTAGTTCAGCATTTTACCACCAGAGGGCGCCACACTCGAAATTTTAGTTCAGCATTTTACCACCAGAGGGGGCAATTTTAGTTCAGCATTTTACCACCAGGGGGCGCAATTTTCGAAATTTTAGTTCAGCATTTTACCACCAGAGGGAGCCACTTTCGAAATTTTAGTTCAGCATTTTACCACCAGAGGGCACAATTTTAGTTCAACATTTTACCACCAGGGGGCGCAATTTTCGAAATTTTAGTTCAGCATTTTAACACCAGAGGGCGCCACGCTAAAATTTTTAGTTCAGCATTTTTCCACCAGAGGGAGCCACTTTCGAAATTTTAGTTCAGCATTTTACCACCAGGGGGCGCAATTTTAGTTCAGCATTTTACCACCAGAGGGCGCCATTTGTGAAATTTTAGTTCTGCATTTTACCACCAGATGGCGCAATTTTGGCAATTTTAGTTCAGCATTCTTCCACCAGAGGGAGCACTACTTCGAAATTTTTACTTTGTGGCCAAAAGTATTAAAAAAATGTATTTTTTTTATATTCCTTAAGTTAACAAAAAGAGCGTCCGGTTCAATCCTTATGTTATATTTAAGGGTTTTTGATGTATGTCTTATATAGACATACTACTTTGATGTATGTCTTATATAGACATACTGTCTTATATAGACATATATACTATAGTATTTCTTATATGTTAGCCTATATGGCTAACATATAAGAAATACATTTATTTAGAGTTTGTAGAGATACTACGACTATAAAGATGTAAATCTATATGTATAGATATATTGTCTATAAATACATATGCCTATATAGACTAGCGTCTATAGAGACGTACGTCTATATAGACATATTATCTATGAAGATGTGGTATGTATATATAATATATAGGGTAAAGTATCTCTTCAGGTACATACATAGTGAGGCATCTCGACGCGATGCTCGCCGCGATACATACGCGCACTTACTCGCCGTTTTAAAACAGCTTAAAACGTTGGCGTAGGATGCATCGCGGGGAGCATCGCATCGAGATGCCCCACTATGTTTGTACCCTTAGAGACGTAGGTCTTTATAGACATGTGTATAGGGACGTATGTCTCTATAGACATATTATCTATAAAGATGTATGTCCATATTATAGGCTAACGTCTAAGAGACTTACTTTTTTAATATATGTATGTCTATAATAGGCCAACGTCTAAGAGACTTATGTCTATAGGATGTTCATGGAGACGCATGCATGTAATATGTATGTATAGGCATATTCTATAAGGGTAAACACGTACATATTGTTATATTTACGCCTCTATTTTTTTTTCAGCCACTACCATTATGGGCCGTCCAACCATCAGTACCGAGAACCAGTTACAGAATTAAACAAAATATAATATAATTTTTGTTATATAGTTATGTTATTAGTAAAACAAATAAAATTATAATTTAAATCTGTGTTTTAATTCAATACCTGTCTTAGTAGATAAAAACCATTATATTAAAAATCTATAAAAAAAAGTAAGGTAAATCTATACTGGCATCTGGCATTAAAGTTAAGTGAACTTTTTAAGTAACATTAATGTATTAGAAACTAATATTTTTAGAAAAAGAAATAAATGTTCTATAACAAAACACTATTTATTTTCCTTCGCTTGATTGATATTAAATGAATAAAATATATTAGAATAGAATAAAAGTATATTAAAATATAATACGATATAAATTGACTGAAACCAGTAAGATCTCTAATTTATAACTACTATTATTACTCTTGTGGTTTTTATCATTTAATATAAGACCAATTATAGTGCTTCTAAAATATTAAGTGTTTTAAATGTAAAAAAACTGTAAAATAATATATAAAACGATTTTAAATTATTTAGCTTTAAAAAATTTGTATACTTATTGAAAAATAAAAAAAATGGCTTATGTGAACTTGTTAGGATTTTTAACTATTAATGGAAATAACATATCGTGTGCTTAGAATTAAATAAAAGGGCGCAACGCTTTAAATGTTGGGTGGAACAAATATTAATTTTTTAATGGCTTAAACAAATATCTATCGTGCGATTGAAGGAATGTAGAGATATTTCAGTATGAGTTTCATTATGTACATCGCTGAAGTTCTTGATACTGACAGTTTAACTCTTTCTAAAGTTTTAAATGGACTATAAGTAAAATTAATTTTTTAACAATTCAATAAATATGTTTTTATTAAATGTATATATAGATAATTAAGCGATAGATAAGTACATTAGAATGTATGTTTAGTGTGTTAAAACATTAAATCGAGGCGTGTTTATAATGTAGAATGGAATTCAATAAAGTCGCCGAATAGAAAATAACGCCCCGACTATCGTACCGCTTGAAGAACTTGAAGACTCATCAAATCTACTACGTAGTAGCAGTAGTTGTAGTACTACTAGAAAAAGAAAAGAAGAGCACTATACATCAGAACCGGTTTTAAATTTCCAGCTGATGTGCTTTTTATTTCAGGACTTATATCTTTACGTTTTATATAGGAATATATACCGATATATCCATTCCGTGTATGTACGAGTGATTTTAAATAACCAGAAATATAGGTCCGGTGTTTGGATTCTCATATTAATACAATATTACATACAGTACTTTTATTTTAACTGTGAACATAGGCGTGAATCACTGTAATTTGTAAATCACTCCCCTGTTGTCATTCCATAACCAACCTTTTATTATAATTAACATTGATGAAATACCGACAGGCAATACTGTTTTTTCGCCGAAAAATTAATAGACATGAAATAGAATTTAAAATATTTTTTTTCATCGAAATTTTGGATTTTTTGCAATTTTTTGAGCTATTTTTTGCTAAAGAAAAAAAATATTTTAAAACAAAAAATATTTGTTGTGTGAGTATTGGTTGCATACATGGACTTAAAATCAAATTTTATTTTAAGTCTATGGTTGCATACTGTACACTCAAATCCAGTGCATTGACTGTTACGCTTTAAAAATGAACATATTTAGCAAAATAGCATTGCATACAATGTGTTAAGCCTTATGTTCACAGTTAAAATAAAAGCACGGTATATACAAATATATATTAACATATTTGTATGTAACGTACGATTTAATCTAATTATACTGTATTTAAAAGAAGATTGTAACTTTAATTACCTTTTATTATAGACTTTTTTTAACTTAATAGAGCCAATTGTAGTAAATAAAATAGTACGCTTTATATGTAGGTTCCTTACACCTTCTGCTAATATTTAATATAAATAAGAAAGTAAATATTTTTTTTAAGTGCCCCGTTAAAAATATTTACGATCAAGATAAAATATATTTTATTGTCTTATTTAGTTTTAAAAAACTAGATTAGATTAATTTAGAATGATTAATTAAAATTTTGAATAAAAGTCTAGAAATAAAAACTGAAAATAATAAAAGGGTGTTTTTTCAAAGCAGTGCTTGACCAATAAATTTTGTTCATTTGACTAGGTACGTAGAAATGAATTATTATGAATAGAATATTTTTGAGAAAATAACGGCAACAGAAAACTAAAATTGTTAATTCATGTTATGTTACTAGAACAACCATTGTGCTCATAATTATTTGCCTTTTAATATTAAACCAAGTGCTTCTGACAAAATAGTAAACATAACTAAATCTATAGATTATGCTTACCATATCTACAGACAGATGCATTGGGTATTATATATTATAATACCTATTGGGTAATCTGTCTTTCGAATCTCCCTCAGTTACATAACATGCTATCTAAAAATTATAATTTTATATAAGGTAAACATAAATAATCCCTGATTACTAGTAGGATAGTGACAGATACACATTCAACAAGTATAATAGCATTCAATATATTGAAAACGCCAAAAAACACATTTTAAAGACATGTATACTGTGTAAATTGACTCTCATGGTTGGATTCTCATTTAATTATTATACAAAAAGTGATAATTTTGACCAATAAATTGTAGAAATTAACTGTATATCTAATAACAATATTATTAGTTTAATTCAATATTCAACATAAATTTTGTCCAACTTGGTCAACAACATTTTTCTAAGATGTTTATAAGTAAGTTTTATTAAAAATTTAATTAGTTTTCACATTATCCATATCTGTTAAGAATCTCTTATCTGTTAAGAATCTCTTAATTTAATGGAAACTGTGTCATATAGAAAAATGTTGCAGTCCAGCAGAGGCCACGTGGAGGCGGGACAATCTCTGCCAGGAAAGGAATAAGGATGGGAATAGTTACGTATATTCTAGATTATTAAAGGATAGTTGTGTCATTGACGCTGATGGTGGCGATGATCTTTCGGCGTGAGGAACCCATACGAGGTCGTTTACCACCGCAGAGTTCCTCATTCTTTCGGTGTGAGGAGCTCATGCGAGGTCGTTTGCCACCGTAAAGCTCCTCAATCTTGCGGCGTGAGAAACTCATACGAGGTCGTTTGCCACCGCAGAGTTCCTCATTCTTTCGGCGTGAGAAGCTCATGCGAGGTCGTTTGCCACCGCAAAGCTCCTCAATCTTTCGGCGTGAGGAACCCATACGAGGTCGTTTGCCACCGCAGAGTTCCTCATTCATTCGGCGTGAGGAGCTCATACGAGGTCGTTTGCCACCGCAAAGCTCCTCAATCTTTCGTCGTGAGGAACTCATACGAGGTCGTTTGCCACCGCAGAGTTCCTCGTTCTTCCGACGTGAGGAGCTCATGCGAGGTCGTTTGCCACCGCAGAGCTCCTCATTCTTTCGACGTGAAGAACTCATACGAGGTCATTTGCCACCGCCGAGTTCCCCTATTCTGAAAAAAATACCCAAGAAATACACTAGGTCACAATCAATAATATCACAAAAAATAACGTCAAAATCAACACCAAAAAGCAAATAAAATCGCTCTCATGAAAATATATAGATTAATTTTTACAAGAAGCAACAGTTAAAGAAGTTTTAGTTTACAATTTACGTAATCACTTAAAATCGTACAATTAAATAAAATTGTAATTTTATTTAATTGTGCTAGACAAACAAACCCGTGAGTTAATTCAGCTATATTATTCACTTGTTCCTCAGGTATATTATTAATTATAACAATAAGGATTATTTAATTTTAAATATTTTTAGCTAAGCTACAATTTATTGGTCAATTTTTTTTTGTTTTTTTTAATCCCATCATCTATCAATTCATGTAATTTCTAATATGTATAAACTCATCGCACTTTTATGTTCTTGATCAAAATCTAATATGTATAAATTCATCGCACTTTTATGTTCTTGATCAAAATAAAAAAAAAATTAATCAAGAACATAAAAGACCTCTGAAATAAAGCACTGAATAAAAAATATGCATATTTTACTTGATCAGCTTCGTAATGTGTGGCTCCAAATTAGGAGGTATACATTTTTTTGTGAAAGAATGGTTATTTGCTGCATTTCGAAATACCGACAACGAAAACAACAACGACAACGGTAACGAAGAACATAAGAACGAGGAGAAAAGTAATATATGAAACAAAAAAAAGGCTTTCAAATTATAGCAAAGGTACTTCCGAGAAAATTACACCACTAAAAACTAATATTGTAACAACTCCAAGTTCTTCTGACAAAGTAGTAAACATGACTAAATCTGTATACGCCACCAAATGTTTCCTTCGAATCTCCTCAACTACTCACTCCTCATCATAGAAAAATATATTTTCAAACATCTTCTTCGTCTCATTCTGATAATAGATTGTAACTGCAAGAAATTAATTGGCTGTAGTTGTCAGTAGATTTTGGATTATTTCCAGAGAAGACGATTAGCCAGCGGCGGCGACTACATTACTCTATGAGCAGTCAAACTGCAGTATGAGTCTTAGTCTCAGTCTCAGTCATACTCGCAGCAGTACGAATCTGTCTAAGTCGCAGCAACACCAGACCCGAAACCAGTGGGTATCGCGGGTTGCCATTTTCCATTAGTCACTGTCGCAGCTCACGCCGCAGACACAGTCGCGCCGCTGTTCCATAACAAGTCGCAGTTAGTACTCCACAGTCAAAGTGGCGAATAAACGTGGCGGTACATTATTTATAAGTTCGGTGTCATCCGGGCAAGTTTACAGCAAAACATTCCCTTCGACGTGGGATCCTAATAAGACGACAACTAACCATTATAATCATATCATGTTATCCCAGCAACTTTACAGCAATACATTGCCTAAATTTCGAATCTTCATCGCCAACAAAAAAAGATTCTACGCCTTTTCTAAAATCCTATAACCATTATTTATAACATTATATGTCTATATGTATAATAGTAATATCAATCGGCGTGTTAATATTATATCTTCTATAATGTCATCCTGGCAAGTTTACAGCAAAACATTGCTTAAATTCCGAATTTT